AGATTAATAGCCAATTAGAGATGCAGGAATATGGCTACCAGAGATAATTATGCAACATAACCAGATCACTGAGTTTCTGAGCTTTAGGGTTTAAATTTAAAGTCAATGATACCACATGTTCAAAATCTACATGGATAATCTCTAAAGGGATTCTTCGGGACTTTGACAGCGAATATCGGCACACTACTTTTGCTGCAGTGAGAAAACCCATAAAAGAGATCACCTGCAGCAGCCTCTGGGCAAAATGAGAATCGTGATTTTCTGTTTGATTGGACAAACAAACGCCTTATGAAATAATGCCGCCTGTGGTAAATATGGGTCCTTATTATTCATAGCACATATACATAGGGGAATGTTTTTTTTTGTGAACTGGTGTACATGGTATTAAATGATTCAGAACACTCCTTATTTCGCAATTCAAAGCCAGGCTATCCTTCCCTGAAGGCACACACTCATCTTCAGCTGCACAACTCTCAGAGCAGATCGACCCAGAGGGCAAGCTGTGGGGATATACAGGTGGGCAGAGCAGATCATGTCCACTCTGTGCACTGTGCACACTGTAATCCCTGCTTGTTTTCCATACTTTCTCCCAGAGTGGTGAAATACAAAGCCACCTTCGACTCGGCCTTCTGAGACGGACTGCTTTTTCCTTGATGCGAGGAAACAAGATTTTAACCTTCCTTTCCTTTGTCCTGCTTTCAGAGTTATATATTCAGATGGTGTACAGTGTAGCTTCTTTTAGCCGTGGATGATTCTCAATTTCTCTCTGTATTGATCCAAAGAAATGTACACCAAGTGCAGTATGCTGCCCTTGCAATAAAAACATCTTTTCTGAGCTTTTAATATCACTTACAGTGGCTGAGAGAGGACTCAAAGTGAAGTCAAACAAACCTTAAGTGAGTCTTTCTCACAGCGTGTTAACATGCAAACTTTCTGAACATCTCAGGTGATTTATCACCCCTGAAACACTTTTGTGATGACTTCATGTTACCAGTCAAGAGTTTAAAGTCTTCCTCAGAACAGTATGATGCTATGTGGTCCCAAAAAGAAAGGCAGGCAAGTCACTTCCACTCTATCACCTTTTTCCAATCTGCTCCCAAAAACATATACAAATTCTCAGCATTACTCTTTAAATTTCTACACTTAGTATCAGATGAAAAGCACCTAAAGGTGGGGTAGGCAGGATCTGAGGAAGTCAACATGAAAGTAAAAAGCATTGGTGCTACTGTAGATGCCAACAGACTACCAGCAAACACAATGTTTGCAGGACTTCTACAACTTGAATAAAGTGACATAGTCCAGGACCCGAGGTCAACAGTTTAATGGTGCTAAAGCGGTTTACCTGTCCAGCAGAAAGGTTACAGGGTCCGTAAGATCCCAAAGCATCCCCCAGCGTTTTATGTTGACCCAGCTTTTTGGCTCTTGTCCGGGTGATCTACCTCCTTTTTAAGCACCAGTTGTTCCACCAGAGTCTCCGGTATTTACTTCATTTTCTTGCTTGTGTTGGCAGTCGTGGTTAAAGGAGGATTTGGACAATTTTCCGTACTTTCTGGTTGGGTTCTTTGATTGGAACACAGCGATATCGTGATATTCTGAAATGTCATCAATAACTAAAAGCTATTGACCGATTTTAAAAGCTTTTTTGTATATACACCACAAAAAAAAGATGCCTCTTTAATGCATTCCTGCCTACCCCACCTTTAACTAATAACCAACTTAACACACATCCTAAAATCCATTAAATGTCTGAAAATGAGAGAGCAACTTGAATCCACTCTCATACATGTTTTATATTGCTTGATAAAAACTGAATTGTTGTCAGCAGATATAATCAGGTAAGTTGAATGACTGTATCACAGCTGTTTCATCTGCCGACTTCTGTTTCCACGCAGACGATTTACAGCCAAAGTCAGCTGAAACCGTTGCAGACAGTTGTAGTTTAGAGGACAATTAGAGAGCAAAATGCTCCTGGCACTTGAAATGGAGTTGAGTATACTTTCCTTTGTGAATTTGGCAAATACAGATTAAACCGGTGTTTAAAACCTCTTCGAAAGGCTGCTAAGGCCAAATATTTGTTGCTTTAGACTTGCCCCATTTCTCACGCCCATGAGGTTCAAAAGATTTCACACAAATAAATGAGTACAAGCCAAAATAGTTTTCGAAATGAGCAACTATTAAACTTTTCCCTCTACTTAAATTCTGCTGTGCCAACATGTCACACAATACTTTAAAAGGCTTTTCTGACACAAGGCAGGCCAAACAAGATTAGCTCCCCGCTTCTGTATCCGATTTCAACTTCGGCCTTCTTGAAAAAATAACAATCATGGAATCTATCTCTCTTTGAGCTTAAAACAAGTCTGTCTTTAAGAGGTGCTGGCCAGCTTAATAGACTAATTAACTCAAATCCCTGGAGTCCTGTAACAGCCAAATGAAATTAAAAAACAGCTCACACCACACTTTGCATTAGAGGCAGTGACTTAGTGTTTTTTGTTAGTGTGCAATAGCTCGAATTAAAATCCCGTTTTTTAATCTCTCTTTCCCCCTCAAACACACGTACAAACATGCAAATCTCTGTCTTACACACATACACAACCCCGACACACTGATTTTTCACTTTTCACGCCCTTTCCCCCCTTTCCTTTTGAGACAGTAATCCCCAGCTGCAGCACTAATAGCATTAGCAGAGCATATCCAATCCCCTTAGAACCCCAACAGGGAGCTCAGACCTACACTGAGACAGACACTCTGGGGGACTACACTACCCATAGTGCCTCAGGAAATCCATCGTTCTGCACACATTATTGATTAAAGTAAACACAGATAAAAACAAAAGAAATTTATGCAGGGTATTATCAATATTATCTGTAGGGTGCTTTTTGATTGGGGGAAATAAAAAGAGGATTTCTGGTGAACAGGGCGAGACCAATAGCAGTGTGTAATCTAATTCGACAGCCAAATGTTTAATTTATGGAGATCATAAAAGATGATAAAAGTGTTACAGATTACAAAAACAGAAAAGCTGCTGTGTCATACGAGAAAACGTAGCAGATAATTGCCATGCACTGCTGGTGATAACAACGTGATCACTGCATTGATTGCTTATTGACAGAGTGCAGCTTTCTACCTGAGCTAATTAGTGCTGCAGAATGGCTCATTTAGAGGGAACCGCTCTATTGTAACTGTAAACTACAGCTATAGTTTGATGAAAAAATGCTTTTGTTCTTTAAAATAATGTATTCCTCCCTTAATTTAAGCATCTCAGAACCAATTGGCCATTTTGGAACAACATCAGCATGACGTCTCTTGAAGACGCAGTAATTTTAGGGGGGCTGCAGGTGAAACCAGCAGTTACACAAGGCAAACGGTGAATGATAAATGGACTCTCTTAAATAGTTTCTAGTCTCCAAACCACTCAGAGCACTTTAAAACTCAAATCCCGTTCAGTGATTCCCATACACATCAATACACTTGATGGCGGAGGCTGCTGTACAAAGTGCCCATCAGTACTAACTAATCCCTTGGGTATGCAAGTAGGAGCAATGTAGGGTTTGTCTTTTTCTTACCTTTGGACACAAAGACATGGAGACTGCAGGGGGTGATGGGAACTGAACCACCAACCTTCCATTTGAGAGTCCACCAATGCAACCACTGGCCAACCCTGTGGCTTATCATCAACCACCAACCCTCCAGCATGGAGTAGATCAATGCTACCACTGAACCACTGACCAACTCTATGACTACACAACCATGAACCTTTCATTTTAAAGTCAACCAACACTACCACTGACTAGACAGTTTTATTGGTACCATTTCCATAATTGGAAAAAGTAGATCTAGGTATCAACAACACAAACTTTATTATGAGTTTTATACATGAAACAATGCTTAAAACACACATCTATGATCTGTGAGCAGGTGCAAAGTCAAGCAAAAGAATAACCACGTTGAACAGATAGAAGGAAACAGCCCTCACACTGCAGGGCTCCAATATACGAGGAATTTAATTCGCCTTCTGAGTTCAGTTTTGAATAAAAAATTCTCGTATATTGGAGCCCCTCGGTGTGAGAACCATTTTCCAGGATGAGTTTAATTGCCTGTCTGCTGAGACAGGGACTTCTAACTGGACCTTTACAGTCAAGTAATTGCAGATGAAGCTTCTGGTAGACCGACCAAAACAGAGATGGCTGCCTCTGTCTGGCACAGTCAGCTAACAACAGAATAAACACTGTTTTATTAATCAACACGGGTTTAGTTTTGAAAGACTGGTTTGTCGGGGTTAGAAATGCCTTTTGATATACCAATCTGTCACTTGAGAGCTGTTGGTCTCACAAAGCGAGTGGGCTTTACATTAAGTTTCATTTTTATAGCTGATTTTTGAAACAGAAGAGGAATGTTGAATATGGTTTGGACCAGCTCTGTCCTTTGCCTTCATTGACTTGGTTGGTGTTTGCGTTGACAGCCTCTCAAGATGCATCATTGTTTTAGAGAGGCATTTGCTGTAGAGTAGATAAGATCAATAAGGAAACATAAAGGGAAATCATGTCAATGGCTCAATATGGTTTGATCCACTTCTTATCTATGACAATTCCTGATTCCTATCCCTAACCCACTTTAGACCAATGAATTACTGACATTTTGACTACCATCGACCCCCAACAAACAGAATTTCTGACCAATAATCAACTTTTTTATTTACAAGTCAACCTAGCAAAACAATGATCAACTCTATGATCAACCAAGCACCAACTCTTCCACTGAGAGTAGACACACATTACCGCTGAAATACCAACTGACTTTGTGAGTGACGGACCACTCCACTTTCCAAATCAAAGTTGACAGTTGCGACCACTGATTGACTCAACCGCTGGGCTGTGGCATCTTTTCATGATGCTGTTCAATGTAAACAACCACACCAGCATCTTGGGAAATGGAGATGGGATTGGAGTCAAGACAGGCTGTCAACAACAACAACGCTGTAAGCTACTGCTAAAAATACTGAACAGAGGAGAGATACTTCCACTACTAAAATGTTTGTCTCCCACAGATCCTGTATTCATGTTCAGATGTTTGACAGCAGAGATATGTAACTAATAAAGGAGTTTGCTGTCATGCTTTACATGCTAATTATCTACTTTAGTTGCTTGAAAACAAAATTAAAGACCCAGCTCTGATAAAGCAGCTGTCTAAGTGTGAAACCTCTATGTAATGAATGGGTTTTGGTGCAGGGCTTTTATTGTCATCCTAATTTTAACCTACAGTGACGTTGAATATGATGAAATATTTCTACCAATTACTTTGTTCCACTTTATGTACATGCAATAGCTATGCAAAGACATGATTTACAGGAGAAAAAGCAACATACAAACGTGCAAAGCTTGTTCATGTATTTCATATAAATAAACAATTTGAGACAATGTCAACATAATGTTTGAAATTGGAAATGCAAAACTACATCCTGGTGTGTGGAACCGGCTGCATGGTTGCTGAATTATTCATTTACAGACATCGCAGACAAGCATTTGTATGTAAATTTGTTTATGTGTGTGAGCCTACATGCATGTTTTATGTTGCTGCAAAGCTAGAAACAGAAGCGATGGATGGATGGATGGATGGATGGATGGATGGATAGATGGATAGATGGATAGATGGATAGATAGATAGATAGATAGATAGTTTACATGTGCAGTTGTGCTTTCAATGGTCCATTAGACTGTCACTGCAAACACACTGCATTCCTGAATACAGCCTCCAAAGGGAAAGCTACACCCACAGACCCAGCAGAGGACTGGTCTTCCCTCGCCCCGGCCCCTGATAATCAGCCTGCCAACCACAATGTGTCTTGACTTCATCTCTCAGCAGTTAGCCATAGCTCACGGTGAGTCATTGACTTGAAAACAGAGCTGCAGTCTGCCACGACATAAGCTTAAAAGTAATCGTTCTACTATGCAGAGTCAATACTGGTTTTCCTCTTCCTGCGTGAGTGTGTGTTTAAGAAAGAGAGAGAGAGAGGGCGAGAGGGAAAATGATGTAGACACAGGAAAGTAAGGCAGAAGCTACAGCGAGGGAAAGGGAGAGGAAAAAACAGCAGCAGTTGTGTGTCAGGCCCAGGAATGAGCTGTAACCTAATGAGTGCAGATGAAAGCTGACTGTCTGAGCTAACTCAATTCTTTGCTCTGCTAGTCACACTTCTTTGCTTAATGATGTTTGCTCCTGACTACTGATGCCCCAGCGCGATGCTGGATTGCCTTTTTTTGGTCAAACGTTTTTCCGCCTCTCGCATATGCAGAATGTTGAACTTGGCTCGCACCAAACAGGGGCTGACATCACCCACACTGTGAGGCAGACATCCGTTTAAGACATGTTTACAAGTGGTGAAACCGCCGGCATGCCTCTATCCTAACTCGTATAAACACAGAATGGGGCTGACCATGTGCACGCTCCTATGTGTGTGCGCAGTGTTTACACAGAACAGATAGAGAAATATCACCAGAGCAGGAGGTAAGGCTGCAATCTGTGGGGTTGTGGTTAAAAAACAGAGCAGGACTATAGCAACACGAGGGCGAGGATGTTCCTGGGAGGTCTTTGTAGGGGGATCAGGGAGTTTTTTAGGGGGCAAGGTGTTGTGTGTACACAGAGGTGAGGAGGAATGTTGTAAAGCTGTTTGTGGAGTCAGCAGGCCAATGAAAAAGCTCAGTTGTTGGAGCTCAGCCAGAGCTGTGATGGGGAAAAATCAAGAACAGAAGAAAACTAGAGGAATGGGAATGAAAGAAAAGAGGAATGTGATCTATAAAAAGAGAAAATCTCAGGCGTGTTGTCTGTTGAGGAGAGTTTTACACTCGCTATAAGAATGCAGTCTCGGGTCAATGAAATCTGGGAGCTCTCTTTAGAATTCAATCAAAGCCTTTCTTGCACCTCTGCAGCAGTTTTACCATATCCAGCTCTACTGCAGGTTTGCATTCATCCTCTTTGTTTCATACAGCCGATCAGCTGAACATCTGTTTCACACAGCACTGTGGTTCCTGCACACATTCCTACACCCATCTTTACCTGCCAGGTGTCTGTGTGTTTGTCGTCCTGTAGGGACCAAATTAAACCATATGCATTGCATAATCTTTCCCTCTCCAGGCTGAGAGTGTGAAATAAAGACAGCTGCAAAAAAAAAAATGAAAACATCCACAATAATAGAGTAAACTCATCAAATAACAGTGCTTCCTCTTTTTTGTTCAACGTATTATTGGTTAATATCAAATCCCATTAAATCACTTTATATAAATTTCAAGGTTTCGGCAATAAAACGCTGCAGGATTTGTGAGCCGCCCCCTTCACGTGAGATAGATGTCAGAAAGGTTAATTCAGGAGTCAGAATGGAAATAATGTAATCATGGTGGAGAGACAAAAAAACAAAAATGTGACAATAGATGGTTGCATGTGAAAGAACAAGAGCTGAGAGGGGTTGATGGAGAAATAACTATTCTAATGCAGCAAACATGGCTCAGAGGTAGGGAAGGTTTCTTTCATTTGGGAAGGTCAGTCCTTGATTCCTCCAATCCACATTTTGAGGTATGCATGGCCTGAATAAAAAAAAAAAAAAAAATCCTCAGCCTGAAAATTTGTTTTGAGGTTTGGGGGAGCTGAGAGACTGCAGATTCACTTCTCTATAACACTGATGTATTCGTATGATGGAGTGCATGCACAGCAGCTTTTGGTCGAGGTGGTTCCCTCTGTGCTGTGTGCGCATAAGCAAAACATTTTAGGGATTTTAGGAAGTGTATCATCAGATCTCACATTAAAAGGGTGTTTTATTCTGGAACAAATTGGTCTAACAGAATTAAATACAGCATGAGAATGAACACAGTTAAAAGCAAAGTTATTCGTTGCATATTTTGTATAATTTTATGCACCAATTTATCATAAAATTGTACAAGTATTTTTTAAAAGGAAAACTTATTTCTCTTAAATAATAAATGTTTGGTTCTCCCTGCATGCTTGCTGAACTTCCCATTCTAATAAATGCTGTTATTCATATGTTAAACTAAAGACGCTCATTACAGACAGAGAGAGGTTCCCTTCTTTTCCAAAGCTGAACTATTGGGCCTTACTGAATTATAAATGATCAGATTATGATTGGAAACATTTTTTGGTTTGTTGATATACTTATGCATTTTTCATGATTATCCACAGGTCTGAAACACAGTCATATCGAGCTGTTTACATGACCTGACTGTAGCCTATTAGCTTATTAGTATTATGACCTCCGCTGTCTCCCTCTCTGCCCAAGCGAATATTTATGCCGATAACACATTTTATTTATTTTTTTATCAGTGCCAGAATACTTTAAACTTTGGGTTTACTTTTGCACCTTGAGTGGTTAAAAAATCAGTAATGCAATGAAGTCAGTAAAGTCCGGTTGTAATTTCCATTTTTAAGAACAGCGTATAGGGATGGGATATTTACTAATTGCTCTCCTACTTACTCTTATGGGGCGCTCACACCAAGTGCGAGTTTAATCATCTACTGGCTTAATTCGCAGGAATCTAGATGCTGATTTTAACGGTAATCCCTGCCAATTCAACCAGAAGGATCAAGTGATAGACAAAGGTTTTTTACAATTTACCAGGTAATCCGACCTGCTCACTCACTTGCCTCCAGGCAATCTCCTTTTTATTCCGGTTTCGGTAATTCAAAGAAAAAGTATCATATAATTCGGGGCACCAACACACCGACACGGTCAGTTTGTCCTCCATTTTAGATACGAGTGAACAGCTGTCCATTTTCATACGTCACTCGGCAATCTTCGTGCTGATTTGTTATCGCAACGCGGATATGTGCTCAAGTTGAGACATTTCCAGCTCACGTCCAATTCACGTCATTCGCACGGCCAGAGTAGTAGGATTGTCTTATCGCGTCTTTGCATTGACTTATAATTCATTCGCTCAAATGATTTTATTCACGCTTGGTGTGTTAGAGTTAGAGGACAGGAAAGCAATGTGATGCATGACCATGACAATCTTCCATTTGTCAAGTCTGTCCTGTGCAATGGTAGAAAAATTGCAGTGCAAGATTGCAACCCCTGTGAGAAGGCACCTGCTCCAGGTCTAAGTAGCTAATTACTTCATAACCCGACACTGTAAGGGGGGGGTTAATTTTTGTAACTCATCAAATTAGGAGATATTATGACAAACAGATTTACACACACTTGCAAAAAGGCAGTTGAGTCAAGGCCTGCCTCCAAAGTTAGGTTGAGTCCAGCGTTTTCATGGCATACAACACTGTTTGGCTTCAAAACATCCATTCAGGCACCGATGAGCGACAACGCAGAGACAACCAGTCCGTAAGAATCACTGAAGCAATCAAAATCCATCCAAACGTTCCCCACATATTTCATTTAAAGCCAGAGTTGCGAAGCTGTTCAGGGATGAGATATTGAGCCTTGAACAAAGGCTTTACCTTCCCCGAAGCCAAGCGGAGAGTTTAGCTAAAATGCAGAAATGTGTTAATTTAAAGGAGAGGCATGAAACGATGATGATACTTTCATTAAAAGACTAAGTAGTGCTTTGAATTACAAAGCACATTAGAAACTGTGCCACAGAGCGAGAAGTGAATCTATACGGGTTCATTTTAGATTTATCTCCATCTGAGCAAAAATCCAATTTAGATCCACCCCTCCTTGACCACATAGCAATCCAACCTCCCCTTCATGGTGCAACATAACTCAAGGACAGTGAGTCAGCCAGTCAATATGAGCCTAATCTAATCCTTGGTGCAGAAATCTGAGCCGCCATGAGACAAGCAGAAAGCTGTGATGTCACAGGGCGAGACCTCCACACTGTCTACCTGCAGAGACAGGATGGGGGTGGGGGGTGGGAGTAGGAGGAGGGAAGAGGAAGAGGAAGCTTCACTCACTCTTACACTGAGGTCTTTTTTTTCTTGTCTGAACGCAGCGAAGCACAAAGTCAGGACATTAGGATCATGTCGCCCAGAATCGCCACCAAGGGAGGAGGGGTGGGGGAGCGACTGACCAATGAGGAAGAAGGCAGAGATGAATAAGGAACAGGTGAAAAGACCACCAACACATGGACAAATACATAAAGCATGGGAACACATGCACACATTATGAGTTATATTTGCCTGCCCACAGTATTTTTGCTGTAAATCTCCTCAGAAACAAACAGGATGACCCTCCTCCACCACAGAACAAACACTTGAATTCTTGGCGCTGCTGCCTCTCTAGTCTAGTGAGCACCTCCAAACATGATCTCTCCTTATTTCCTTTCTTTATTTTCTCAGAACCAAACCGACTGAGACAAATTCCTGCGGATGTGTTATTTTGGAGAGCTGTTGACCACTACTGGAATAGCTGGCAGAGTATGTCCAGGATTTTGGTGCCAATGCATACATGCCAGAAGTCAAAGACACCACAGAGAAAAGCCATCACTCTTCACCTCTGACACTGAGACCAAATATAGAGCGGTATTTAAAAATTGAAACATCAGGATGATTTTTTTTTCCTGTCACTTTATCTTACTTGTTATCTAAGCAGCAGCCTTGAGTGCTGACAAATGAAGCCGACACGGGGGTGCAAAAGAGGTGCAGTTTTTAAAGTGTTTACCTGAAGCCCACTCTGACAGCCAAAAGAAAATAAATGAATAGATAAAAATAAAATCCTTTAGGCTCCGTACCTCTATGCTCATATTTATGGGGCAAACTGACATGTTTACAACCTGTAATAAATAACAGCTTGGTCTCCTTTCATGAAGAGCGTACAGGTAGTAAATTTTAGTGTAACTTACCTTTTTCAATAATATCTAGCCTTGAAGTTATGAAGCGCTGTCATGAAGTGAACCCTGCAGGCTTTCTGCTTGACATCAACACAGTCGGAGTTTCAACAGCTTATCAACTAGTTAACAAGAGAACTACTTAAACTTTTAGCCTGTGCAGTAGGGAACATTTAGCTATGAGCAGGGAAGGGGGCTGGGCTCAGTTAAACAGGCTTGGAAGAACCTTACTGCTGATGATGTTGACACCCACCTGTTACCTTTCTTGAGAAACCAGTGGAATGCAGCTCCGAGGGGTAGACAAAGGTAAACTAGCTCATTTACCAGCCAATCAATTAGCAGCTGGTATAAACGAGTAAGCTTTGAGGGGTTCACATCTGCTAACCCTTTGCTCTTTACCAGCATTATCCTCTACCTATAATATAGGGGATTCAGGCGTCACAAAAACCAATGAACGGCACTGTAGTTAAGGTGACGAGATGTACGCGATTTACGGGGGAAGTCTCTGTTTTGGATGACCTGTCCCCCACTAAAGCTGTCCCCGTAAATATCCCAGATTTAAGCATTTCATGAATGAAATAAAAAAAAAGTTGTGTGCAGACTAGAACAACGGTTATTACAGTAGCCGAATGGGTAGGAAGTGCGAGTATGCATTTCCCGCGCAGTCCTTAGCAACAGTTTTTACAGTGGGGTTATTATGGCAGAGCTGCCAAGCGTCACGCTTTGAGTGTGACAGTCACGCAATTTGACCCATTCTCACACACTTGATGCCACACTTGACATTTCTCACGCCTATTTTCCCCCATTCAATACTCCGAGATAACCAATCCATCAGCCCTTCTCATTCTTAACCAAACACGAAAGGCACCACGCAATATAAACCAATCAGAAGAAACATAAGGCGGGTCTTGGCATCTCTGTCATCGAGGCATCAAAATCTGCAACAAACTCCTACAACACAAGACATGTTCCAAGCTAAATGATGGAGAGTTGGTTGAAATGCAATATTAGCAAATAGACATATTTTGTTAAAATTTTTGTGATTATTTTCATTTCTAATTTCTGGTAAATTAAGACTAGCATTAGGAGGCCACAGTACAGGGACAGCAGCTGGCATGGAGGTGAGGACATCAGTCTTCAGGTATAAATTGACATTAAAAAGGCATTTTTTTTTTTGCCGAATACATCATAACACTGAAGTCTTACCCCACCCCTGGTTGTCCTCAGATTTCATTACAGAAATCTGGTAACCTTAACCGTGCCGGCTTTAGCCTCTACAGTCCCTTATTTATATCTTGCTGAATTTTCTGCCACCAAAGGGTTAAATGCTGTTTGTCTCAGCTTAACATATTGTTCCCTTCAAGGGCTCATCCTCAACTTTTTTTTCTTCAGCGCAAAGGCAGATTAAAGTGACGTCCTCTGTAGTGCCGAGAGATCTCCCCGTCCCCTGACACTGTATGACACCAATTAGAAAGAAGTGGATATGACAAGACATTGGTCAAAGCAATACAACTGGAAAAAAAAATCTCTCTAGCAGTGCTTTTTTGTCTTATAGTATGGTCAGAAATAGAGGTAAAAAAACAGAGACAAGACAAGGGAAAGGCAAGAACGAAAAGATTGAAAAAAGGAAGAATACAGGAGAAAGAGAGGCAGATGTCAGTGTTGGAAATGGACGTTTTCTGTCGTCAGCCCACACTTGACTGTCAGCTGCCAAAGCTGCCAGCTCAGACCTCACAGAGAAGGAGTGACAAGAGTGCTGATGTGCTGTTAGAGCGCTTGGAAATAAGAGAAATAAAGGCTACCCTCCCTTTTTTTGCAGTTTAAACTAAGTACAGTCTTTTACAAATCACCACAGAGACATACAAGACACTCATTGTCTCCTTTTACCCGGCTTAACCATTACAATGTGTTTGACAAAAAATAACCTGTTTCACAGCTCCCAGGTTCCCCCACATGAGCAGCATGATGTCATCAAGTCAAGACAGGAGGGCCATTATTTTGTACATGGATTGGTAATGCTCACATTTGTACAAGTCTGGCGATGTCGGTAATGAAACAAGAGGAGACTTTGAAAAGGCCCCGAGGTGTACGGAGTGTGTGTGTGTTTATGAGTGTGTGTGCAGAGAAAATAACTCCTCTGAAGAAAACTGCCACCTGCTGAAATGAATGATAGCAATTCACATCGGTTCAGAATGACAAGGAAGGCAAATCACACGCAGATGTTGCTGTTCTGAGAGGACCCCTGTGTGTCACACAGCTGCCAGTTTAATGTGGGTAACAAGTTTCATAGCTTGTAAAAAAACAAAAGTAAAAAAAAAACACTTTTGAGCTACCGTTCAGGAAAACGAAAGCAGGCAGCAGCTAACTGCAGGTCTGACCGCGAACTACATGAGAAAGTACGCGTACACCAGCCATGTATTATTTAAAAACCTGCTCTCGGCCAAGATCACAGCGGAGCAGCGCTACAGCAGAGACATTGTGCACTCTTAACAAACAGATGTGAAGCATTTTAGCTGAAGTCTCGACATAGGTTTTACTCAACTGACCCTGAGAGCTGGCTATCAGTAGCTGAAGTGAAAACATGGCAGGGTCAGGTATCAGCCTCCCTCTGAGGCCAGGAAGTCTTAGCTCTGCAACGTGTCCAGTGACTAGCGTAGCGATTAGCTGACAGTTAGCTGAACTGACTTTTTTTTTTTTTTTTAATTTATACGTCCCAGCAGACAGCAGAGGCAATCATATCAGTAACGCTGAGAAAGCCTGACACAGCATTTACTACCGGCGTAGTGTAAAACAAGCCTCAAGAGCTGGAGTGACCGAAAATGAAAGGGATCCTCAATAGGGCACAGACTATTAAAAGAAAGACAAGGCGTAGGTGCGCGGTTCAAACACGGGGTCCAGAACTACCTGCTACTCTAAACATACTAGAAGAAGTGGGTTCAGGTTGTAATAATATGAAATGGTTGGTGTTTTGGTTGTCAATTTGGGTTTCACAGGTTACATTTTGAATGAGGAAGTCTTTTCTTATAAATTCTGACATTTACTTTCTTTGTGCAGTAGTCAGGAGGAAAAGAAAGGGGGAACTTAATTTGACCGCATTTTTGACACAGATAGAACAGCATGAGAACACATGGTTCTCTTACTGAACTGTGACCGTATAGTAAATTAGCCGGAAAGGACTAACTTCCTTTTACAGCAAATGATTAAGGTTTACATGGCTTTAATGGCCAAGAACATTTGGAACAGGAAAAACTAGCCATTTGGACTTCTGGGTTAACTTTAAAACAATTTTTCAGTCAAAAAAATATATATATCCAGTCCTCTCCATGACCCCTCCCTCTCAATGAGGAGGGAGAAAGCAGGTAAAGCCCTCAATCTCACCCGTATATCAGCATGCCAGTTTGACTGCTGCTGAAACTCCTGATGAATTATTAAAACAGCCCCTGACTCCGGCCTAAGAGAACATATCTGAATTTGAAGTTTGGAAGAACATAAAGGAGACATGATTGAAAAAGAGACAGAGCAAGATGGGGAGGGTTGGCTTGGATGATGATACAGGAATATAGAGGGCTAAAGGAGACAGGAAAGGCCTGAAAAATGAAGCGCAGAAAGGTCACGAAAAGAGCATTAAAAGTGCAAGAGACTTACGGCAACTCTCACTTATAGACGAGCTCGACAACTGTCGCAGTTCGCTGTAAAGAAAGACTGTCTCATCCAGATTTACACTTCTACACTTTTCCTGCCTCCATGTCATGTGATAGACAGCTAAACACTCATAAGCCAGCTCGCTTCATCGGGGTTTGACCCAATTAACAAACTGTCAAATGTGAGCCATGTTGATAATTGGTGCAGAGTTGTGGTGATGAAGCTCTAAGTGTGTCACCTTCCAGAAGTGGGGCAGTTTAAGCTACAGGGGCTAATGGGAACACTCGCTCACAACATACCAGCGTGAGACCAACGCAGGCACCCACGGCATACGCACCAAGGAGGTTCAACTGCGAATGATAACCAATTATTGTTTGTTAGGCCAAGATAGATACTCATATTTGAAGTGTTTCTGTATGTTTTTGTAGGGTGTTTTTCCTCCATTGTGTGTGTGTGTGTGTCTCGTGGTTCATTAGGGACCAGTTGCCCATAAGAACAACAGGAATAAATGAACAGAAGTGCAACTGGTAGATACAGTCCATCACCTTCTCATTTCTTCATCCTACACAAAGATGCACCCACACACATATAGAGGCAAACACACTTTCACGTTTAAAGGCAACATGCAGACTATGACCAAAGGACAAAAAACAGGTCCCCTTTGTATTATCAGGTCTAGTCATTCTTAGTCATAGTACCTCCTTTCCTCCTACTTCTACTTATTTAATGACCCTTTGTCTATCATCTGACATCAATTGGCATTCAGTTGTTATTTGACTGATTCATATTTTTCATCACTTTTTACCATACTGTAAGTTTGATTAATTTTCCTGTTTACTACACGTCTAATTTTATTAATGCTACATGATTGTATCAATGCAGTTTGCTGTATATACACTGTGGGACACTTTTAGAGCCACAGCCATTTTTATTAGATTTGGGTAAAGACTGCCCTCTGCTGGAGTGAATTTGTAAATGGCATCTATGTCGGTGCACAACAGGCTGCTGGACATAACTGTTTATTTATGGTTTATATTCAAATAGCATTGAAAATATAAGACTTTGTTTTTCTGGTGTCTGCAACTGTGTGAGAATTTTACATTTATAAAGACAGACATGAGCATCTTTGTTGCAAACACACTCTTATATGTAAAAATGTTATTTTCAAACACATTATTTTTTGCAAAAAGGACCTAAATAATTCAATTTTCTCCTGATTCTTTTTCGCTCTGCAGAGGATGAAACAGAGGGCAGTGTTGTAAAATGTGTAACTCATTTCATACTCTCACTAAAAGAAATAAAAAATAGATGACTGAATGAATAATCAAACATGGGGGACTACAGGGGGACCAGAAGACTAATGAATGGCTCTGACAAGGTCAACAGGAGAAAAAAAAAGATTTATACCAACCTTTTTGTCTGGATTTCCTCCAATAGAACAAACTCTAACCTGGTGAAAAGGAGTTTTAAGAAATTTGCTTGATTTGAATGTGTTGAATTATAATTTTAGGTAATAATTCTGTAACATAACTCATGACCACAACAGCCTTACGGCCCTTTATGGTTTTAAAGTTAATCCACTTGCTATGAAGCCAATGGCTCCCAGCTTTCACCTGAAATCGAGATATGAAGAAATCAAGCTGTAGGAGGGGATGATGTAATCGCCGGTATTCACACTCCGTCTGCAGGGCTAGAGATAATTGAAGGACACAGGAAGTCTATGAAAGATAGCGGAGAAAAATATTGTGTGACTGTCGGGAGGCTGGAGGGCTCAATCGCTCGAGTGTCTTTTCGAGTGCCTCGAGTGTCAAGGCCCCACCAGTTCATCTCTACCTCAGACAATAACAGTCAATACGGCTTTTCTGTCATTCACTCTCAATCATTTTTACTTACTACATGCTCAGTACAATATAAAGATTTGTGTACTTTCAAGGGCTGCGACATAGTCTGCATACCTCTGAAAATAGTTCAATATTTGAAAACCGCCAGACACCAGCCTCATTGTGCAGTGATACAATGAGTCAGGAAGACGTAAAATATATGAAATAAATATCAGTGAAGCCTCTATTTTGTATGCAGTGTCATGCCACTAGAGGGCACTCTCTTTATGGAATTACACTGAAGCCAAGTTGGTATGAAAAGAAAAGAAAAAAATCTCATGTCATTGCCCCATGGTTGGCCTCTACAAGAACAAACCCCAACACTACGCAGTGCAGGAATGCTGAGAGATTACACTTGATCTCTCAGTAATATATCCAAACAAACTAATGTCAGTCACAGAGCAGGTTTCTTAAGGACATGCCAGCCCCGATACACCTAGATTACTTTCTCTGCAGAGTAAGTTAAAAAGAGAGTCTCACATGTCTCCCTGCATGAGATCATGTGCTGACTATTGTACGCTGTGCTGCCAAAATATACAGTAAGGTCTCTATCAGAATCAACATCAACAAGACCAGAGTGTTTTTAGAGCAGGAAAGGTGCTTTAGATCAGGGAGTGAAAATTTATAGTCATCACAGTGGAATTGTTTTTGAACCTGCATCGGTTCCAAAGCAAAGTAGATCATTTTTATGTGGTTTAGTACTAAAAACATCAATATTTGAGCACTTTTTATGCTCACAGGATTTGCTTTAAAAGCTCTCTGATGTGAGGAGAGCACTGAAACATTTCTCTGATGTTGTTAATCTGCATGTTAACTCATTCCAAAGACCAGAATTTAAGTCCCAAGCTTCATGTCTACAAACAATACAATAAGAGGAACCAGTTAGAGCTAGGTAACTTCTTATTTTGGCGAATAACTATAGCATGACATTAGCCATAAGTGCTGTGTAATGTCCAGTAACACATAAACAGCCGCAGTAACACCAAACACAGCTGAAGAGGGAAGATGTGGTCTAATGTATCAGTTTATTTTGGCTGCTTCTTCACCTTTGGACTGTGAATTTAAATTTGACTGTGTAAATAGGAGTGACGTAGCTGGTCTTGAGATAGTGAAAAATAACCTGCTGTTTAATTAGCTGACATAGGCAAAGCAGTGGTTTAATAGGTGAAGCAATGTTTTAATAAATGTACATGTTTTACACACAGATGGTATTTAGATTTCCTGGAATGTATGAACAGTAACGCCTCTTTCAAACATTCACTTTTAAAGTTATCTCAACGTTTTTAGAAGTTTTGCCCCTGAAGCTTCCCAAGTTTCTGTTTTATAATTGTCCCCTGATTGCCTGTAGCCTTCCCTATCAGATGAGGGGCGTGGTGTGGTAAAGAGATGGAAGTGCAGACATCTTTGCTCTTATCGTTAGAGAAATGGCCTTCCTACTTCAACCTCAGATGAAGTTTTGTGGAAGTAAAAGGCTCCAGTGAGCTTATTGCATTTGTTGAGTTAGAGTACAAACCTCCATCAACTACAAGGGTGTTAAAATGTATGAGGGAAGCGCAGGACGATGGAGGATTGTCTTGCAAAGTGTTGACAAAGTAGCTCTCACCACAGACTCATGAACAGGTCTCACCACAGAATTGTACCTTACCTTTACTTTTTATTTCATTCACTACTCAGACACACCTGACTGGTAAAACATGTATAAGTTGATTACTTGTTCAGTGAAGTGTATCACAATGATGCAATTGGACTAATATAAGACCTACTGGAGATAAGGTGTGAAATTGTGAGTGTGCTTGTACGCACGTAGTAACTGACTAATTAGAAGGGGGAACTTTAAGAAGGAGGGTGTGCATAAGTGAATTGAAATAAAATAGGGGAACTTCAAAGTTTTGTGAAAAGTATCAAAGAGAGTGAATAGGAAAACACGGCCTGAAAAAATGTAGAAGGAAATTCAACAGGAGATAATGACATCAGAGAGATAAGATCAGAGCTTAATTCTTAATAATTGAAAACAGAAAGTTCACATGGGGACTAAATAAAAGACAGAAAACAAGTCGATTCGGACATGGACGGACGGAGGTAAACACATAAACCTGTGGTTTTGGTGAGTATGTATTTCTTTTATTAATGAGCAGCAAAGAAAACATGGCATGATCATTTTTTTTACATTTTGAGGTTTTGGTCAGTTGACATTTAGACTTTTGTGTTATTCGAGTCTCAACTTAAGACTTTTACCCGGGATATTATAAGTGCAGTTCTAGAGCAAAAGAGATAATTCACTAAAATACTGATTTCACATTCATCTGGCTTGTACATATGAGAACTGCTGGGCCTAGTGTGTTGAAGAATGTCTAACAAAGCCTTCTCTTAATTTGGGAAATTTAGCTGCACCTGTTTAAAAACATGGATTAAAGTGTTATTTGCCATACAATGTCTTTATGTACCAGCCATTGTAGCTTAATATTAGGTTATGAAACAACTATTGAAGTCTGTTTAATGGTTTAGTCATCTCATTTTTCCATATTACATTAATGCAAAACACATTCAAAGTGCTCATGCAGCCTAAGGTACAGTTAAGTACTTTTTGTGGTTGAATTTTCCAGCCCTATCACATTACAACATTATGGGGTTTTGATCACTAGACATTCATACATGTGTACTATTCGAGTATGGAAGCAAATTTGTGTCATAATTCAAATGAAACTAGATTATCAGAAATGCATTTGCATTTTCACAATGCACCTGCACTTCTTGACTCATAGATAAAATTGAAAATAAATAATCCAAACTGCAATTGCTTTCTCTTTTTCAAAACTGATCATTCTGTAACTTAATTCAAATGTGAAAGAAAAAAACATTTAAAAAGTTAATTTTCAAAATATGCCCCAGCAAATATGTACTATAATTCAATTCGAAATGTCAAATCTGAAAATTCAGATGCATTTGTAGTATGGCTTTTTTGTTCCAGTCAAAACATGTTCGAGTCTCAACTTACGACTTCTACTCCAGCCACTGGGATTTTATAAGTGCAGTTCTAGAGCAAGAAGATAATTCTCTAAAATATTGATTTCTCGTTCATCTATCCTGTACATATGAAAACTGCTGGCTCTAATGTATGTATGTGCTTAAAAACATGGATTAAAGTGTTTTTTGTCGTACAATGTCTAAATGTACCAGCCATTATAGTATTAGGTTATGAAGGTTTAATGGTTTTGATATCTAATCTTTCCGTATTTCATAAATGCAAAACACATTCAAAGTGCCCATGCAGCCAAAGGTACAGTTGAGTAGTTTTTGTGGTTGAGTTTTCCTGCCCTGTCACATTTAAGACACTGGTGCCCTCACAACTCAGTGTTTACTGTTTCCAGTGTGCAGATAGTGGATTCACCGGTTCAAGATCACTCTCTCTATTTACTCCACAAGAAACTACTTGAAGAACTACATCATGGTAAGTCTTTTCTTTACACATATATTTAGGTTTTACTCAACGTGTTTGGCTCTGGGCCTGAAACTTGTTTCTGCTCTTTGAGTCCACAGTTCTGAGAAGATTGTTTTTATGTCATTACCCACAAGTTTCTCTCTCCTATCCTTCCTCATGTTTCTAATTTCCCTCTTTGTCTATTCTCCTTTTCTCTGTCTAGGTGCTTGATTGTGAAGAAATAGATGTGATGCTGGAGAAGTACTACCTGTCACCATTCTATGCCATAGAGTTCTGCATTGGTTTCCCTGGCAACCTTATAGTTGTACTTGGTTACATGTTTTGTTTGCAGAAGTGGCAGAGTTACAACATTTATCTCTTCAACCTAGCGGTGTCAGACATGATTTTCCTCTGCACACTGCCACGCCTCTCATACCTCTATGCAAACCACCAATCAGAGACCAATCCACATGCTTGCATTATCAACCGTTATGTCCTGCATGTCAATTTGTACTCGTCCATCCTCTTTATGGTTTGGCTCAGCATGGATCGCTTCCTGCTCATACGGCATCCGACACGGGTCCTTTACCTGCAGAGCTGCCAAGCTGCTCTGATCATCACAGTGCTGAGCTGGCTTGTTGTCAATGCGCAAGTTGCTCCAATGATAACGCTGATGATCCATGACCTACAGAGTAACAACTCAAGCAAGTGCAACGATTTTGCCAGCCTTAAAGGAGACATCAATCCACTGGGGTACAGCCTAGGTCTAACCGTGACTGGCTACATCATCCCTCTGCTTGGGCTTTGCAGTTTCTCTTACCAAATTGCCCGTCTCCTCTGTGTCCAGGAGAGAGCTATACAGCGCAGCACAACATCTTACAAACGACCTCTGAGGGTTGTTACATCAGCAGCAGCCATGTTTCTGATTCTTTACACTCCTTACCATGTGTTGAGGAATGTAAGAATCGCATCAAAACAGGGCTGGGACTGGCTGACACCATGTACGAAGATGCACATCGAGGCTCTGTACATCATGACCCGTCCTTTGGCCTTCTTTCACAGTGTCATCAATCCTGTCTTTTTCCTTGTCATGGGTGACAAGTTCAGAGAGCTTTTATTTTCTAAGCTTAGAAAGCTGGTCGTAAAAACACAGCAGCAAAGAAAACCAGCCACAGGAAGTCCATCACAGGAACAAACGGACGACAACCAAACACATCAATCAGCTAGATCTTTGAATTCTGAGTAATGTCAAAAGTCTCCTTAAATTATTTGATGCCTACAGAAATATTGTGTCCAATATTTTCTGTCTCAGTTGAACATTTTTTTTTTTCATAAAAATTGCAGCTGTGATTGATGTGATATTTGAAAAAGAGACCATACTTGTGTAAAAATGTTAATAGCTTGTGACGAAAAACTCAGGTTATATGTAATGGAACTGGAGCAATGTTGCAATGTAGGAACTCAGAACTGTGTGAATGGCTAAATAAGCTGGAAACTGGTTATTTTTGTGTATGTATGAGCAGGTATGTTGCTAAGTCAGTATTTACTGGTGTAAGTTTTTATAGTCAATATGAAACTAGAGAGACTTATTGTATTTGTGAATAATCTTTTTAGGATGTTTGAGTGCACAGAAATGTATTGTATTATATTTAAATGTAACAAACCTATATAATGTTGACAAAGTTCAGAGGCTACAATTAAAATTTTTTCATAAACTAGTTGAAAAGTAAAAGCTTATGAATGTCTTTTGGTAAACATGAATGACCCGATTTCACCAGGGATTATGACTCTGCCACAAAAGTATAAATCAAAAATATGATCAAACCTTACCATATTTTAATGTTGCTTTCCAATCCCATCTCATTTTTTTGTGCAGCCTACTGAGACATGGTATTTATGCCTCTGTAACATGTCACCCTGTAAAGTCTTTCCACAGCTGTGTCAGCATTGAGGTAGCAACAGAAGAGTTACAAGAGAGAGATGGTATTCGATATGGTATGATATGATACGATATGCCCCCCCTAAATTCAACTGCCTAGTGTGTCTTACATCGAGGTGTCCTTATAAAACCACAAGATAGACATGTCAGCTTCACAGTGCACCACTGTTTCCTTTTAATGCATAATCTTGATCAGCAAAACTGAGGGATGCATATCATATTTTTTTCCTTTTTTCTTAGGTAGTGTTGATAACTGCTTCCTTTCTGATATATCTGAGCTTCCTCACTCAGCCCACAGATCATTAGGTAGGCAAAATAAAGTCTGTTGAAATTAAAATTTGCACAGGCTGGATTTCAACTACTGCTTGGAAATTTACCCCCAAAGGTGCACCACGGGGAGGATCGAACCCAGGTTGCCTGAGTACATGGGGTGCGCCTACACCACAAGACTATCTGCACTCCTGTAATGTCTTTTCAGATGAACAGTTTCTCTTTAGTAGGAATTTTCTCACAAAAATCTCCTCCATACTGCACTGTCAGCGACTTTTAGTGCTTACTTAAGCCTGAAATTCTTGTTAAACTCACTTAATTTCACAGGGTTTAAATAATACAGATGAGATTAGGTGCCCTCTTTCAGTCAGGACTAATCACACCATGCTTGATCCACCATTACGTTTACATTGGCATGTGTCAGTGGTAAAAAAAAAAAAAAAAAAAAAAGAGGTAAAGATAAAATCTTGGGCTTTGCTCTTTGTGTCTCACATTTCATAATATAAGATGGAGAAGTTATAAAGAGACAGAACCGATGAGAGAGAAGGTGAAGAAAACTACATGTGAGGCCAAAACTTGCAGCTCTCTCTGCCAAATAGTGCAAAATCCCTTGACACTTTAAGCTGCTGCTGCAAGGAGCCTTTAGTTTGTGTCAATTTATCCATGAACATCTGACCTCTTTGTTGATTTTGTCCTTTAGCAGTATTTCCTGAGACTAAACCTCATTCTGCTGTCTGTTAACGGTCAAATAAATCACTCACTCTGAGTATCTGCTGTTTAAAACATACAAATCAGTGAACACCTATTCCTTGTAGTGATAACATGCATTGAGAGTTGCAGTATAAAACATTGACATCATGTTGCTAAACAGGTTTTTGCTCTTCCAGTCATTAAAAGGCATCACGGTTGATTTCAATCTGTTTCACAACAAGTAACAAACTCTTCACAGGGGCATCAAGGTTTGTACAGGTATGAATACATGCCAAAAGTGAAAATATATACATAAAATAAAAAAAATTAAAGTATAAAAACAAGCTTTTCTGGCACACTATAAATAAAACGTTTTGTTTTGATATTCAATAAGTACCCATCTTATGCAATAATAATATTGGGCTAATGAAAACTGTTTATGGCCAGTGTTAGCAAACAAAAATGTCTGAGAAAGAAAGCTCTCGGGGTCTCACGTTGCCTTTAGGGCCTGTGTCCACTCGCCGGATCTATTTTCTGTATAAAACTGGCACAGTTGATTGTAGGTGCAAAAACCCTGTATGTCTCACCTGTCCTTTGTGCTGCATTCAGAGATTTCAATTCTGAAAAACATATTTTTTATCAGTGCTATCATCGTCGGTATCACATTTCCATTATTGACCAATCAATTTCTTGGTCTAGAGATGCTCCTGATGCTAAGACACAGTTTTTGTCAGCTGTTAATATACATTTTTATTTACCAAAAAATCCACTCACTAAAAGTACAAGCTAAGCATGAGAGTATTTCACAACAGACTTGGTCATCACCAGTTTAGAAAGTGAGGAAAAGCTCTGAAATTGAAGTTGATGCTGCCGGCACAGATGAACCTTACTGGTGGACACAGGCCCTTAATCTTACATTATTTCAGCTTTGACATTAATGGGATTAAATTTCAAGCCTTTTAAGTGGGAAAAAAACTGCGAAAATCATGTTAACAAAAAAAGTATATAATGGCAGAAAGGCAGGGTGTGTATGTGCCGTCATGCTTACATTCCTCTGTGACAACACTGTAGGGATTTATGTGTTTTCTACACTGTATGTGGGTCTAATCTGTTCAAAATCACTGCACACAAGTTACAGTTCCAAGGAGTCACCTTCCGTAATCCATTTCACGTTACTGCTATTATCCCCCCACGGCACTGAAAGAATCTGTTAACAGTACAAACACTTTGTCTATAAGGAAGGGATAACCATAGTACAGACGGAGTACTTAGTTACACATGTGCACACGAGGCTCGCATAGCGTAGCAAATAAACAGTCCTCTTTACACACTGGAGGCGTGGAGTGTATTGTTTACGGTGTTGTTTTAGTGATAAACAAGGCTGACCTATCTGAATCATCCCTTTGTTTGAATGCTTTGTTTGCTCTCATGCATCTGGCACTTTTCTATTCATAGAAAATAAAACAGCTTGTCTTTTCAGTTTGAGTATCTTGGACGGAGAGCGTGTAGGTGTATTCTGCGGTCTGCGGTGTGTTTGCAGATCAACTGTACTCTCCCCAGCAGCTTATGAACACTCGACAGATCCCACAGGGACTGCCTCTCCTAAGTGGCACCAAGTGGATTAAGTATGTCTGAGTCAGTCCATACAATATCCTGCTTAGCATATCATCCTGTTCACGTTCCCCGAGTGTGTTGTACTTATCATTATGTAACACTGTACGCAATGCTGGTGAGTACATCTATTCTTGAACGTTTCTCTCTTGAAGTGACGCATGTGATTGTTCACAAAAAGTACAACTGATCAACAGATAAAGGTCAGTCAGTTTATTGACATTGTTCAAATTAAATATGATGCAAATGTTGAGATCTCAAAGAGGATATTCAAAAAAACATTGAAGTATTCATACTTACATTTGAGAAGCTGGCAAAAATAAAAGCTGTAAAGCATTCAGTTGTTGAAAAAAAATACATCGTGTTATGAATTACCTTTGTGATAAAGAGAAAAACCGAGTCTAGAAAACAGAGAAGAACTGGAACACATTGAAACAACATTTGACCTTAAAGCTAAACTTTTAGTTTACAGTTACAGTTATGAGCTGTGAGCCTCTTTAAACCATAAGGGCGTAAAAACAGTGACACATTACGGAACAGAGACTTTTATAGGATTATATTCTGGTACCCTTTAACCTCCTTATCTTTTTGATAGACTTTCTATGTACAGACAGATCACAGAGGGAAGTCGTCGTCAGTTACCTGCCAGTTAAAAGATAAGAGAGAAAGAGAGACGGGGATTGTTTATGTGACTGATGAGCCTCCGGAGAAATTAACTGCAGCCAGAGTTTTTCTGAATTCTGCCAGAGCAGAAGTTTAGAAAAATTGCATCCAGACCGAAGGGTGCATTATTATAGAAAACACATTTTCTTTCTTGACTTTATGTGTACTTTTTAGTCATTCCCAAGCCTGCCAACCGTACGAATGTGCAAGAGAAACAGCATTGTCTTTGTTTCTGTTGAGCATCTACTGGGAAAACAGTTTCTAGTGCATCACCACTGGTCAGAGTCAAGATGTCAAAGGTTGGAACTGGACCTGAAATGCTCTGGATGCAAAAACCAAAACAAAAGTCTATTTTATTATTTCATATTTTGTTCCAGCACCAGGAGAGCAAAAAGAAAAAGGGGTTTTGTTTTGTTTACTGCTTCAGTTGGTGCCAAGGGTTGTTTCTGCCAACGACACAACCCCAGACTGCCTGAATAATAAGGATAACAATGAAGCTGGGTTTGCTTCAACACTGGTCCACGTTGAAGAATCATAACCATATGATATGTTTGGTTAAGTTTTGCTACCGTGTGATAAAATTTACAGCATGGCTTCATGGTGGCAGAGATTCTTCTGGAGAACTCGCCAAGTTTTTTTTGTTCCACCTCTACATTTGTCTGCATTGTTCTGCACCCTCCTCAGGAAACCAGAAAACCAAACCTTGACTAAAAAATGATTAGATTAGACTAGATTAGAATATCGTTTTGGGTGGTAGCGATTATTTCCCCTCTCTGTCTTTCTCTCTGTTCACTTGGTGTGAATAATGCTCAGAGGTACATGTATACGGTAGTGTTACAACGTCGTCTTTGCATAATAATACGATTATTCTCTTTGGAATGTGGTTGAGCATTTTTAAATCATTTTTTATCTCTGTTGAGCAAAGATCTTAAAGACATAGAAGCTATCATTAAACACTCTACAGGCTTGAAATTTATAGCAGTAAGAATTGATGCATGAAATGCGCTGATTTGGTTACTTCTTGCTTGGTTAAATCTTTTACTACTGAAACAATAATCTACTTTTTTGCCAAATTGGATACATAGCACATCCAAGGGACAGTTTTTCCCTTGTGAAAACATGTAATATTGAACGTAACAGAAAAGGACTCGAGTATCTGATTCAGGAGTTTGGGTTTTTCGGTATCAGATGTCAGCCAAAATGAATGTCAACTTTGGCTGAAGTGATTCCTGATATTTTCATCCTCTGAAAATCGTTGTCTTCCTCCCTGCCTTGACCTGAGTTGGACTTCTTGAGCTCTTGGGAGGAAATTACGGTACTTTTATGGTATGTATAACTAACTGTACTTAAACAGACTTATTTGGTAAGCAGGTCTTTTGGTGGGAAACAGAAATGAGCAGCTGCCACCATCCACAAAACAACTGTGAGATTTCACAGTTTGATTGTGGACTATTGTGTTTTTCGGACAAAAAGAAAATCCCCAGAGAGATGCTGCTGTGTTGAACTCAAATTATCTCGTGTAATCTACCTGAAGCTAAGAAGTCAGAAAACACCCTTCTCTACATATCTGCTAAAAAAAAGCACAAAGAGAAAGAAATAATTGGTAAAGAGATGGTAAAAATGTGCACATGACCAGTTTACAGTGCATTGTTTGGAAAAAAATGGAATGAACATTGATAGTCAAGAGTTTTTACAAGTTTTCCTTTAGCCATTTTATGTAGTTGTCTGTCATCCGATGTGCGATCAGGAAGTCAGTTGGCCACACTGTGAACATTAACCCTCCATGAAATCCCGTGTCATAGTGTTCGTGTGTCACATCAACGCCAGCAGCACGGAGCCGTGTGACATACATGATCCCGTCGTCTCGGAGGACATCATACTCACATGTCAGTATGTAGGCCTTGGGCAGAGAGTGTAAGTCCGTGTCTGGGACCAGCAGGGGCGACGCTCTTGGATCAGACAGAGATCGAGACGGTCCGTCCAGCCCAACATCCTCTCTGACTCCCTGCACCACAGCAGGAGCGCTGTAGTTGTACTTCCCATGATAGCTTTCTGGCAGAAAGGCGCTCCAGTTGACAAATTTCAACAAGCTTGACGACTCAGGGTTGTTATGGGTATTAGCCATCATGGCCCTGAAAAAGGCTTTGTCGCTGGTGAAGTACTCACTCCAGAAACGCACCATTAGGGTGCGTGGCAGAATGGGCATGTCCCGATTCTGCTGATAGGAAGGCGTGTTAAGATCCAGGGCCTGCAGCACCGGGTAAATCAGTGCTTGGGCCTTCAACTTTATCTGCTGCCCCGGCTCTTTTTGTAGCTGTGATGAGAGAGAGAAATGAGCAACTTTTGAATTAAATGCAGTATTTCTTAAACTCATGTACTGAAAAATACAGGATACAAGTAGTATGAGATACAGGTCTAAACTGTCTGCTGACTGAGGAGGTCTTTTAATCAAACAAGGACCCCACTGATGTTTTACTATGTCCACGGAAAAGCTCCCGCCGAGGTTGTTGCATAGTCTTCTCGACACTATAAAAACCCTCTTATTGCATTTTTTATATGTATATTGCATGCACCAGTAGTAAAGAACACAACCCTGTTTATAGCTGAGGAAATGAGGTATCAGAAGAACATAACATTTCACAAGATGTTTTTGGACACAAGCCAGCATCATCTGATCACACTTCTCACAGCTGTTAACAGGAAGTACAAAAACACCATGTGTTTCGTACTGTTTAAAATCTAATTTGATAAAATCAAGAAACCCAAGGCGACGCTGAGCAACTGTGACTCTGTGAAAACTCAATACAGTGATACAGAAAGATGACTTATTCACTTCAACTGCTAAAGCTGACACTGAACTGATCAAACTTTGTTTTGATGTCGAACTTGTTGAGCGCCAAAACAAAACAAATACCTGATATGATCACTTGGCGGTGTCTTAAACAAACCACACTGATGTGATTTTAACCCATGTACAATAAAAAAAGCACTCATGTTGAACAAAGAGCACTTGAGGGTTTCCTGTACGATATTGCACAAAACAAATAATTCAGCATGCTCATTTTTCAGGTGGCTGCAGGAAACGGTACATGCAATTATCTCTCTTGTTGTTTATGCTGCTCATCAACCTGCCTGGGAGCTTCTTTGGCTAATTCGATAAACAGGAAAGCCATACATGGCCCATGTGTGCTGTGTGGGTGGGTGAATTCTCATGAGGTCACCCTAATAACAACAGGACAAAGTGGTTTCTCACTTGACTCAGACAGATCATCCACCTCGTGTCTTACTCTGACTCAGATGCATAGTCATAGACGTACATAGACATGTTTGCAGTAAACAGCACATTTTCAGGAAGATTTCTATGACGCACCATTATGAAAATATTATTTCAGTGTAAATAACTTTTATTTCAGTCGGGCAGAGGGTTTAAACTGCAAGATGGTGCATTATGAATGTAAAAAATAAAACAACCAGGGGAAATTTTACAAATCAAACTTATATCTGTACATTATTATTTAAGTAAATGAGGCTAAAAAGAACTTTAAATGATAATATTTGATGAAATAAACACCTCTTCTTACTGATAATAACTCTTCTTAACTCATGTGTATTTCATGACTGATCCTTTACATGATTACTCATTTTACAGCAGCAGCTTTTTAAGTAAAATCCCTGTCAATCATGTTCATAATGGAATCAAAAATGGGTTGTACTTCCTGCAACACTACCTCCATTCCAGAACAACTAAATGATCTTTTTACTTCGAGTCCAGTGCACATTTTAATTTGCACATATCAAATGTCTTCACACTTCTCCTCTCAGTCCTGTGTGATTTTCCTATAAGTGCACACGGCGCTGCAGTCTCATACTCATGTGACATTTAAAGGCAGATACCTGTGTTAACTGCACAGAGGGCGTGATGACAGCTTCAAGAATCTCTGAAACTTTCTAAAGAAGTAATTTAAGAAGAAACTTTAGAAGATTTTGGTGGATGAGGCCATCCAGAAACCAATCATTAAGAGAACACATGGCTGAAACTCATATCCAGTGATCTACAGTACATACAGCAGATCCTGGTCCTGGCCTAAGAACTAAACACTCAAAGCAGAAAAGGTATTTCAAGGACAACATCAGGATCAAGCTGAAAAATTCCAGAGTAACACAGTCGACCTGGGGAGACTTTGCTCAACACAGCACTGCATGGAGAAGAAGTTAAATGAAGAAGCCAAATTCCATGAAGACGGTTTTTAGTCAGGCTGCCAAAGTAAAGAGGTAGTAAAGACCTGAGAGTCCCCGTCAACAACTCTTTCCCACAATTCACTCTAACCATATCACATTATTTTAATAAGGTTTCTGTAAATGTGGGAAAGGTCCTGCAGCTTTTTTTGTAACTTTAAGTGAAAGTTTTTTTTTCTTTTTCTTTATTACTGCTTTAAACTCCACCTCCACCTCCTTCAGCTCACAGCAGAAGAGCTGAACTCAGATTTCAGTACATGAATACTTCAGATGGATTGATTGTTTTTGTGCCATCTCTATAGGCTCGATCGAGTCTTTCTTGCCAGCCTGTGTAACATGAACACCCAAAGGCCTTATCTATACTGTCTTCCCTAAAGCATTTCTTCTCATAACAGAAAAAAACTGCATATATTAACGCCAGTAGTTGACATGTTGACATGAGGTAACATGCCTGTTCCATTATTGAAATTGAATTTGAGCCAGAGAGTTACTCAAAATGAATACAACCTTGTTATTATGAACAGATGATACCTGTTTTCACAGAGGTATAGAGCTGACACCAGAAAGATAAATTAGATTCACTACCTGCTGGGAGACAGCAGCTGCCAGGTTTCCCCCTGCACTATCCCCAGACACGGCAATGCGCTCTGGGTTCACAGAGTACTGAACCAGCACCCCCTTCTGGAGAAAGTGTTTTACCACACGGTACACATCCTCATAGGGCACAGGGAAATGGTGGGCAGGGGCAAGGCGGTACCTGAAAAGAGTAGAGAGGTGAACATTAAAGCAAAAGGATCATTTAAACACCATATGTATATATATACACACACAGAGAGAGCATTTTTCTCTCTGGAAAATAAACATAGGAAGGCTGTAAAATACATTGTTTTTACAATTTAGGGCCAATCTGGCATTTAATTATCCCTAACTTTTAAAAAGAATGTAGTTTTTTCTTATTTCTTAAGAAAATAATGATCACTAAGAATATAAGATATGCATTCTGTAGTTTTTTTAGAGAAGAAATGTCTGAAAAAATAACAAATCTTCTCAAACTTACTGTAAATTGACAAAATCAGATGTTATGTGTCATGTTTATAGATTATGCACTAGCATAATGTAATTTGCTATCTGTTTGGCAGGTTTTAGATAGGCTGTAGCTCTACAAAAGTTCATATATTAAGACAGATATTCAGTGTCTAAGAGAGTTGAGTTACAAAGGAGAGATGTGGTGATGTGAATCATCGAGTACTCGGATGAAAAGAAAACAGAAACAAAAAAAAATTCTCCGAAAACAAAATCAAAAAAGTAAATTGCCCAATTTTTTTTTGAGCAATTGTTTTCACCAGTTGTTCCAGTCCAAAGGCCAAATGTTACACACTGCTGACTTGAAGATTGTGAAATCCTAAAATTACCCATTGGACCCTTAATAAATTGCAGACAGGAATTTGGATACGGCAGATAGGACAAAACACATACACACCCCCACAGTGATACACTCATCCTCACTGTCAGATACTATCTGTCAACACACCCAAGCATGTTGAACACGCGGAAAAAAGTATGATGAAATGCCTCTGTATCAGCCACTCCTCTAAAAGTTAATCCCAACAGCTGAAACTTTAACCAGTTTGTGAAAAGATGGAGATTGGGTTGAGATTTCCAGCGCTGAAAGGTTGAATTAGAGACAGAAAAGGCTAAAACAAACACTGGCGTGTGTGGATGTGAAAGAGGAAAGGCCAGTGAAAACCAGTTAGCTCCACTCTATTGCTTGCTTTCGACTCATGTGGCAGGACAGTGAGAAACAGAGAGAACAAAACTAATGTATGAAGGACAGATTTTGACAAGAGTTAATAATAACCACTATTAATTCAACTAGTCTGACCCTGCAACTCTAGAGGGAATATTTTGCCACACAGCGGTTTATGTGGTAGATAATAATCACCGTGTAGTATAAGCTGTGAAATATGACACACTTACTCCACAGAGAGAACCACTGCATCCAGCTCAGTTACCATCGTTCTGGCCAGAAGATCGTACGGGCTCATCCCTACATGGGCAGATAAGATGGATACAGATCAGACCAGGTATTATAAAGCAAAACAACGTCCAAACACGGAGTAATTTGCACTGATTTCACGCATCAAACACGACATGAGGGCAACATTACAGCACAGGGCACTTCTTGTAAAGATCTGTGTTACTGTAATTCTTATGAGTGTTCAACAGATTGCAAAAGCAGCATGAGTTGTGTCAAACTGCATGTCATGTCTTTATGATAAGGATTAAAGGGGAACCACCCTCTGGGTTCCCACTGCTGCAGCAGACGGTGTGTTATTTTCTCAGGAAATTGAGAAAGCTCCACAGCTTGTGTTTGATAGTTTCCTATTTACTGATAATCCTGACACAGTATTCCTCTTAGGTACTTTCTAAAGTTTCGAAAGTATGTGTGACATCAATCACGTTGTTCTGACTCTGAGTAACAGCTGAGTAGCTGTGGTAATAACCGCATGACTCTTTGACCCATCCTTGAATGTCACAGTCATGATTCTGTGAAGTAAAAAAGGATATCAGACCATTTACTTACGGGTACTACCCAGACACCATCCCCCGCCGTGCAGGTATATGACAGCCCTCCTGAGCTCAGCGTCACCACCCTGCTGCTTCGGCTGATACACAACCACCTCAACTCCATCAAACATTTCCACCGTCACCTTAACGTGCTCATCAGACACAGGTGAAACCTTTTCAACCAGAGTGATGAAGTACATCACCCCCATGTAGTCTTTCAGCCCCAGTAACTCGCTGAGGTCGGCCTGGAAAAGAAAGCCGAAAACATGAGATCTGGAATTTCATGTTAGTCATCACACCTGAGGCTTTAATATCACCTCTAATACAAAACGTGGACTATTCAAAGCTCTGAAAACAGAACAGAGCTTATTATGCTCGAACAGTGAGAGCTTTGATGGCTAAATTTGCAGAGGTAAAACATGGAGAGTAAAAACAAGGAAATGCTGTGTGTTAAATGTCACTGCCCTCTAGTAATTTCTTTCTCTAGAAGTGATAACTGAATATAGCTTCATAAAACCATGAATTGTACTCTATTGCGTCCAATAAGGTAGGCATTCACTGGCTTGCATGAGGCTCATCAGCTGATGCTTTTCCACAGTGAGGAGAGCCCTCTCATCAAAAGATCCATAGTACCTGCTATCACTTACTCCTATCAGCCTCCCACAACCTAAAAATGTATGTTTCAGATGAGGACACTGGGAATAAATCGTTGGAGAAATTAAAAAGTCTAGCGGAAAATGTTAAAAAGAATAAACTTATTAGTTTAGTATTTAAAAACCTACTAAGAAGTTCTGCATCTGCTTGTTATTGCACCTTAATGGAATATCATTTAGCATGAAGTTACATAACAGAACATTTTTATAGTATTTTACAACTTTTTCTGCATGCATGATAACAATTTACTGTATATTTAGTGTTGAAATAGGCATGTTGAGTTTTTTCCAAACATTGCTAGATTGATGTTGCAGTTGGGGATGCATAACTTGGGTATGATAAACCTATTAAGAGCCATAGTGAAGCACATGCTCTACAGTCATTAATATGGTCTATAATTAGAACAGATGAGCAGGAGAATAAAATACATGGATTAGCATCTGACATAATCTGGAGTAACCAGCAGGTATATCCCCATCAGCAAAATAAACGTTTCCAAACTGCTTACAGTAAAAGAGCAAACAAAAGCTGGGTGATTTTGCATAAGTTGTTCTAGCTAATAAAAGAGAAAATGACTATAACATATATTAAACTAGCGTCTTAAATGAACTCCGTGTCCATGCGTATAAAGGGAATCGTTGTGAGTACATGCAGATCTAGTGAGAGGAAAAAGGTTTGTTTGCTTACCAGGTGGCTGAGAGTTCTGAAGAAAGAGTTGGTCAGCATGAGTTTCCATCTCTCCTCTATCTCCTCAGGAATGGGCTCATAAATATAATATGCCGTAAAAGAGCAAACAGCGACGAACAGAATGATGCTTCCCAACTTCATTTTACAGAGTGCGTCCCCAGAAGCTGACTGACAGACAGCAAGGTGCAAAAAAAAAACGCAAACAGGCTGAAAGCTGCGCTGGTTAACAAGCAGCTCCGGCGCGCGACAAAGCCCGGGATTAATTTTGGATCCGGACCAGCTAAATATGACAGCACGTGTTGGGTGTCATTTGATGGTTATCTGTGTGCATGCTCGTGCGTGTTTCGTAATGCACCGTCCGTTCCGTGGAGCCCTGGGAATTAATTGAAGGGTCAGTGATATGGTTACGGAGACAGGAGCGCGCGCGCCCCGTGTTCTCACGAGGCAGAACCGTCCCACCTTGGCCCGAGCAGCGAATTCCTCAGGTGACTCCTGAGCGCGGCCGCAACAGGACGTGCGTCAAAACTTTGTGCCAAGACGCAACAGAGGCGGCAGCGGTGGATTCTGCGTTCAACTTCACCAACTTCACTGTCCCTCCTTTTTTTTCCACGCAGAAATTGCTTTTATTCCCGGTGTGGTAACCCGCCTGCAGTTCCGCGTGTAATTCTCGGACCGAATTTCCTCCTATATCACTCTCCAGCGAGAGAAACCTGTGAAATTGCAGGAGAGAGTGTGTAGCACAGCTGTAGTTGCACGGCAGCCTCGGCTAATTTTACTAATGGTGACAGAGTCAGATGAGATTCCTGCTTTCCTGGCAGGACGTGCTGTCAAAGCAACATGACTCTGTAATGCACTCACGTTTTGAAAGGAGCCTGCACGAGGAGCTGCTGCTGCTGCTGCTACTGCTTCTGCTGCAGGGATCTGACAAAACTGTGACTGAGGGGAAGTTGATTTTCCAGTCTGGAAAGTATATGCATTTGATTAAGTTTTACTTTTATGACAGTTTTAAGATATAAGTGTTGAGGAGAAGCCAAACAGGTCCACACAGGTGCAAGTCTTTCAGGCAGAGTATGAGCAACACTCTACTCGACGCCTGTCTCTATAACGCATTATAAGTATATATCTATAATGCGTTATAATCACGTCATAGCACTGTATAACTATAGTTATAAACACTCATATATGATTATAATGCTATATAGCAATAATCAAAACACATTATAAAGCATTTTATCATGACTTACAAGGTCAGGTATTATAATGTGTTATAACTGTTAACAACTCACTAACAGTTCCCACATAGATAATGCATTATACATATATTTATGATGTGTTATAATTTGCTTTTAAACTTGTATAACCATCATTATAAACACTCATTAATTATCATAAGACTTTATAGCAATAACCATAAGACATTATTAAGCATTTCATCATGACTTACAAGGTCAGGTATTATAATGTGTTATAACTGTTAACAACTCACTAACAGGTCCCTGATAGTGAGATAGTGCATCATACATACATATATTTATGATGTGTTACAATTTGCTTATAAACTTGTATAACCATCATTATAAACATAAGCATAACACATTATAATACCTGACCTTCTAAGTCCAGATAAAATGCTTTATAATGTCTTGTGATTATTGCTATAAAGCATTATGACCATTTATGAGTGTTTACAACTACATTTATACAGTGCTATAATGCATTATAAATATATTTATAATAGGCATCAAGTAAAGTGTTACCGAAATATCTATATCAGAGTTTGAATAAAGAGCTTTCAGGTACAAATGTTCACACAGGTGCAGTGTTCTCATAATGACAGTCTGTTAATATTAATGTACTCTGGTATGAACTCTGTTGCAGGCGTATGGTTAAGTGCTGCTGTTCCTTAAGAGAAGAGACATGCTGCAAGGCAAACTGTGTGTGTTGTGCAGGCTTCACCTCAGAAACCTGAACCACATGTCTCCACGTGACTGTGTTGACCTCTGTGTTGTGATCTTTTCTAACTTTCTCTGAGTCAAATAGGAGTTTGTAATTGGACAGTGTTTAGGGGGGCTGGCAAGTGTCTCCTTTCATCAGCCGTCAAAGTGAATTGAAACGCAGTCTACAGGAGCAGGAGTGTGACGGAGGCTTGGGTGAGAGCCTCTGTGAGAATGATCGCTGCTGAGCGGTAGAATGCTAAATCTGTTCTCAGAATACAAAATCACTCCTCACACACTCCAGGATTCTCCCTGGAATTCCCTCCCCGCTTCTCTCCTCCAACCACGAGTCTCCGCTTCGCTTCAGAGGGAGACCACCTCGGTTGGCTGGTGAATCTTTCATAGAGCTCTCTTCACTCTGCGCATCTAGTGCGGCAGGGAGGATGGGTGGAGAAGGGTGGATGTTGTCTTCATCAACCAAGGGCCATGCTGTGCAGTGCTCTGCCACGTGGCCGCCCCAGCACCCTGCTGCGTGTAAGGGTAGCTGAGGCGGATGTGTATCTAACTGAGGACTATACTTTGAATGCTGAAGGTGTGAGTGTGTTTGAATACATGTGAACGTGTGTCGAGGTGTGCATGCGAGTCCTTTTAAGCCCGTGTACATGTGAGTTTGTGTGTGCAGACAGACAGATCACGCTTCATTACTTGGTGCACACACATTCTTGAGCTGAAAACATCCACATGGGGGAACATCAAATTCTTATAATTAAGGACCGCAGTCCAGACCTCCACTGCTGATGAGCACAAAGATGAGGAACAGCAGCGAATGTAGCTTTTTCAGTTGGAAGCCCCCTGCTGAGGCGAAGGGGATGAGCTGCATGTAATAAGGCATCTGGCTGATTTACAGCTCAGGCTAAAATAAGCAGGGGGAACACATTTTTGATGTAAAACTAGAGGATAATTTTTAATGCGTCACTAACTTGAGCCACTTAATTTAAGAGATTCGGCTAATTAAAAGTACATAAACGTGCAAACTGCCTCATAAACTTGAAACCTGGACTTGTTTTAAGGTTATATACATTGGCTGAGTGCCTTTGCACACAACACTTCCCTTTCTCCCTTCAGACCTTATGCAAGCTCTTAAACACTGGCGTCATTCCTGCCTGATGAGAACAGGGACAGACAGCTATCGCACATGTGTCGATACATGTGGAGTTTTGAGTACATTTTGTGAGTGTCTTGTTTTTTTATTGTAAAATTATGACACCTAATCATTGTAGGAAAAAGAAAAATGCACATGCCTGAATTCCTTTACACTGAAATAACACTCCAAATCAAATAACTCCCCCTAAACTCATTTTACTTTCTTTGGAACTTCATCTTGACTCTCCTAAATTTAAACAACGGTGATGATAAAGCAGCAATAAAGATTTACATGGAGAGCCATGAGAGTTCATACATTATGCCTGCAGGGGACAGGTATTCAAACACAAATGCATCATAAAAGTATAACACATGAGCCATTGCACATTTGCAGAATACCTCAACTGTGAGCAGAAACTCCTGCAGCACTGCTCGACTCAAACGATTTCGGTAAACTCATTTTGTGATACTGCTGAAAAAAAAGTGACTAAACTCTTGTTTTTGCAGCTGGAGCTAATCTTAGCCTGGGGTACAGCACACGACAGCAGAAACTTACTTTCTGCTTCTGTTGCTAACTTACTGTGTTACTGCAGATCAGTCAGACCGTCCTCCTCTTCCTCATCCTCATACTTTTTATCCTTCATCTGGGTCGCCATCGCCGTCGGTTGTCAACACCCACTTTTCCTGGCTTCTAAGGAACCAAAAACAGAAGGGTTTTAATTATTAGCTTATGAGCTTAAGTACACTAGATTACACTTAATTGCACTTTGTCAAGTTGATGCTTGTGGTATCTTCTGAGGAAACTGTCAGAGTAACGTGTTTATCCACTCTCACACAAAATCATCCTAGTTACAGTATGGACCAGATCCAAAGACAAACAGCAAGGATTAATCATCAACCTGGATTAACTGAAAATAATAAAAAAAAATCTACCTTAATAACAACCTGAAAAAAAAACAACTTCTTGGGGTCACTTGATTTTATTTTCTTTAATTTTTTGAGCTATACCAGTGCTTCAAACGTATTATTCCAATTTCTAGTAATCCTGGTCTGGTTGTTCTGGGTAAACCCACTGGCCCCTGTTTCAAGCTGAGAGCCACAACCTGTTCAATCTGTGTAATTATGAGCTTGGCAAGTTGCCCGTCTATAGATCTCTCCCCCGTCTCATCAATATGCATGTAACAGCATGCCACAGTACACCTCAACAACTCCATGATTTACACTTTTGGGTTTCATGCTGTCTTTTTGGAAATTTGTTCTTGTGAGAGTTATTTTCCATCGAATGGGCCAAAAAATAATCTACAACTCAATAAACATTGGTGTAATATAACAAGATATGAAATTAAATTATATGCTAGTCAATGTAAAACGATGGCATAAAGAAAACAGAGAAAGAAATATCAAGGTGCAGCCAAAGACTCATGAATAAAACAAAATGTCCCAAGTCCGGAGAGAACATAATAGTGGGGGATCAATTACTGTCTGTGAGTCAATACTGAACAGGTTTTTCCATGTCAGAGCAAACACCTCCCAGACAAGATTCTTGATTATGAATAACTGTTTTTGTTTTCCTGGGAACCAACTGTTATAGTGAGACCTCATGAGCCAACACGAATATGGTGGGAAGATGAGTCATCTTCGCGTTCAGCAGGTTTTTCAATGAAGCGTATCCGGCCAAAGTGGTGTTTGTATAGCGTATTCACAGGTATCACAGGGCATTGTTCAGCGAAGGACTTCACATGAAATTTAATCATTAATCGACCTGTAAGAGGAGCTGGATCTGAGTGAATGAGGCTTTGTTACTTACACCGACATCTAAATCTGTCAGAGCAAATTTTGTTATTTTGCTTCACAGACAAAACTGTTGCAGTGTCAGTGTCAGAGTGAACTTATGTGTTTTTCAAAATAAAGTTTGTTTTGACTGTAAAAGTATTTGCAGTACCCTTCCGCGGAGCAGGGTATGAATATTAAACATATAAATATTTGTTTAACAAGGCTGGCTTTTCTTACTATAAACAAATCCAGTGAAAAGACTGTAACCAAGAAGTCCACAAACTTAAAAATGTCTCAGGAGTTGTAGAAAGTTATTGAGGCTGCTTAAATATAGCAGCCGATAGATGGCCAAATAATTAAAGGAGCAGTGGTTAGCACAGCAAATGTAAATACTCATTAGCCCTCAAATATTTATCAGTGCTTGGCAGACATATTCCTCATCAGACATACTCACAGCTTTGATACCTATCTGTTTGTGTTAATAAAATTAAACTATATTTATAGATTTGCATCTTCAGCACTGAAAAAAGCCCCTGATCTGAAAACCTTATTTTTAGATTTAACTTATTTGACTTTTTTTGGTACTTTTTTAATCACTCGTCTTCACCATTATCTTCCCTCCACAACCACTCCAGTAATGAGCGCAGCGGTAAACACCCTGAGGTTTATTATTTCCACCCTGTGCCTCAGGATCATGAGACCTAAACAGCAGTGGATAAGCTCTTTATCAGCAGTCGCCTATGCAACACTTCTGTCTTAAGAATGTTGGCCTCTCACCCCATTCCACGTGAATTTCTTCTGTGTTATCACCAGACACAAGGAATTTGCATTTGATTACAAATTAACAAGGCAGCTCCTTCAAAATAAAAGTACTGGTTCAGTTCATGAAGCTGCAGTATTAAATGGAGCCTGTTTTATTATGTAACCTGGGTCAAGCAGGTACCACCTCACGTGACACGTGTAACTTTTTTTTGTCAGAGGGCCCTAGAGGGGAACATCTCTTAGTACTGGTTTAAGTACTTCCCAGTAATGACATAATTTTAAAAGCTAAGTGTACAAGGAGCATGAGGAGC